ACACCTTGTTATCTCGGATTCTCCAGCATCGGCAGTTCCTACTATCTCTGAGTTACATAGAACGAATGCCTTTTATATACTTATATTAGATAAAGTGCTTCTCAAGCAACAAATTACTTAAAAGTAGAATTTAGTCTACTCACTTAAATCAGATTAAAGAAAGTACTACATAAATACTTTCTAGCTGCAAAAAATAATGAAGCAAAACATCAGAATGTTAATTCATCTTCACTCTTCAACTTCGGATAACTGCCACCCATAAGTAATCGCAGATCCTTTCACTACCACAAGACCTTACCTGTGGCGCCTTCGTGAGAAGAAGGGCGACTTCTGGGCTGTTATTCTCTCTGGCTGCTTCCAGAGGGCTCAGCCCTGCCTACAGAAAGAATCAAGGAAGTAATTAGCTTCTGGATCTAATCAAGGTTGGAGTATTCAACCTGAGTGCTATTTGCTCCAATAATATGTTCCATTAGAAAAGCAATGTGGATTATTATAAATCTAATGAAATGTTATATTTTATGACAGACTAGGTGCAAAATGTAGTAAATATAGTCAATTAATTTAACTAAATTGATGTCCTTTGTGTTGCAAAATAAACTTCAGCATTCATTATGAAAATTACTACGTACGCTGTGCTAGGTAACTAATACCTAACTGATTCCTCGATTCCTACTTTTGTCATGTACAATACATACTATCACAGGGGAGTAAACTAAACAAAAATCAATAACAGTCTCCTCAGATCAAGCAAATTCTTTTAGAACATAGCTTAAATCAGATTGACTAATTGAACCATAAAGCTAATTTTCAGTTGCTTCACTCAAAAGTTACCATTAAATCAAATGACATTTGTTAAACCTAAAATGATTGTGCAAACAGGGTTATAATGGCAATTGCAACTTAATCTAAATGAAAGAAAATATTAACACCAAAAGGTCAAAGGATGGATAAGCAGGGATAAAAATCAAAATACTGCAGGTGCTGGAAATCTGAAATAAAAACAGAAAGTGCCCAAAATGCTCAGCAGGTGTGGCAGCATCTGTAAGGACTGAAACAGAAAGGAACAGTAAGGACAGAAGATGGAATCATCATAGCCCCTAAATAATGTGGGGAATGGTAAAATATGGCTAGATCAGGAAAAGGAGATTCTGTCTTGCCTTGCCTTTCTGTGCAGACAAAAGGAGGCAGCTTATCACGGTTGCCAGCATCAATCAAGGCAGTGAACATGTTGCTGTACAACATCACCCTACATCAATGTCACATCTATCAGATTTACTAACAGCTTAAAAATAAACATTTTGAAGGTGCTTCGACCAAATGGCCATATTTCAAAATATAACAGGACCAGTTCTCAGTCGTCACAAAGGACTGTAGTCAGTCAGGGGCTCTGATCGATCTCAGCCCAGAGCTTGGACAAGGTCAGTCGACTGTTGAGAATGGTCAGGGGCTTCATTGTATTATAGTCTGGGGAGTGGGTCCAGTCAAACATGCAGATCCAATGCAGGAGTAGCTGTAGATCATTTGGCGAGCTACAAAGAGATCATTTAAGGATCTGGTCACTCATCAGTCAGGGCTTTCTTATGAAGTCAGTTAAGGGGTTGAACCATGGTCAGTCCTGGAGGTCTGCTTATTGAAAGTCAAAGGCACATTTAATCAGGGCCACTGCTGTAACAGACAATTTGGGGAAGTCGATTCTGGGGACTACAGGCAGATTGCTGGGATGCAATGATTGTGATGTGGACAACTCAGGAGGCAACAGGGCTCAGAGTACAAATTACTACAGGAGCAGGGGAGTTCACCAACGGTCACCGCCAACCCCAGCGAGGGGGGTGGGGGTTGCCTCATGAGTCATGGTGGTTGGCATGACAAAGCTGTCAGAGGGCCAGGCTCAGGGGTATTGTTCTGAGATGACAGCGTTAGTGGGAACATGTGGAAGCTGATAGGTCAACAAGGGGTGCAAAGAAGAAAGGAACATAAATGTTTGGCGGTGTGGGTAGGTCACTTAGATAACAAGCTGAGCCTGTAGCTCACTCCGAGAAGAGTCTTGCATTCCATCCTCATATAAATCTCAAATGTGCAAGGTAAATTGAAAATGACTACAACCATAACCAAGAGCTGGTGGAGTAGAGTAAGTTTTGTTTTCTGTCTTAGCATATGAGATTTAATGCAAGAAATGTGGACCTTTCAAAGAGCAACAGGTGTTTGCACTGTACGGCTTTAAGATAGCTATAATCATAGAATTTAACATGTCAAATACACACATTGACCAACTGTGTGGGATAGAAAGCCTGGCCTAAACAAACTTGACCACATCACTGGTCATTATAAATGCATCATAGCCATCTCCGTGAAGCAGAAATAGCCAAGGGTGACTGTTTTATAGTCTCACCTGCAGGCCACAATTCACAACGACATCCAAGATTACATAGGCTGCAGAAGGATGTGGATCTGATTTCCTTTCACCTTGAACTTGACAACATGCAATGCTGCCTTACTTGGATGAGGTGGTTTTGTGGGCTGATGGGGGTTGGAGAGACACTTACAGTCCCTTCCTGTATTTGCGCAGCACAACCTTTACTGCATACGTCATAATAAGGTCCCAGTAAGTCAAAGGTCTACATGCAGGCATTCCATGGTCCTCCATATCCCACGTTATGGAGGACTATGCTGAATGCCTGTGTGTGCAATGTGAATGTTGACTGGTCATATTACTAAGGACAGGTGAAGACTGAAGATGAGGAGTCACTTGGTGCAGTGGCTGAAGAAAATCAAAGAATACTTTGATGAAAATTTTTTGAGAGGCTAGTGCGATTCCAGGCCATGAAGATTTTATTGAGAGGGTGGAATAGAACCAGGTGTTTGAGGGAAGTGAAACACAAGAGAAGTAGGTGGGGAAATGGTGGTGTGATTTGATGATAAGGGCCACGCTGCCCCAACAATGATTTGGTAGGCCAGGTTGAGTCACCACCTGTCAAAGGCCAGGATATCAATGCACAACATTCACAGTAAGGATGATAAGGGCCTATTCGTGGATGAACAGCCAGTCTGGAAGGGAATATGCTGTGGGGTTTGTTATGTGGGAAGGTGAGGACAAGAGGAGAATAGGCCAGTTGAGGTTGCTCAGAGTTGCCTGTGTTTTCCCTTTGGAGTATCCAAAGTTAGGCACTGATGACATAGTGCTTATCCAGTCAGGGTTTCAGGCCTGGAATGGCAACATCAGGGCACATCGTCAAAACATAGAAACTAGGAACAGGAATAGGTCATTCAGCACTCCAAGCCTGCTCCAACATTCAACATGATCATGGTGGATCCTCTATCTCAATGCCATATTCCCATTTTCGCCCCATACCCCTTGATGCCTTTAAGATCTAAAAATCTATCTATCTCCAGGCCGAGTAATAGTGATAACCTAAGATAGGAATATAGAAGAAAGGGACAAAGAGAAAAAGGTCCAAGTAGGAAGGAATGGGTAAAAGGGAGATAGAAATCACTAAGAAGTAAATGAACACAGAGGGAGATTTGGGTCGCATTGTTATGATGGGTGAGAAGAGATATTCCTGTATGTGGCATGCAGAATGCTACAGGAGGACATTTCTAACTGTTTTGAGTAAAAAAAAAACTCAAGCTTGAATCTGATGCTTTAACTCATCTGTTTTATTTGCATCATTTCAATTTCATTTCAAAACCTCAACTAAACTCATGCAGAAATGCAAACCAACGCTATTTTCCTCACTGCCAACCTGCATAGAGTACTGAAAGAAATCTAACAATAACATAAATTCTACTTACATTATTGACAATGTTGCTATCAGCCCCAGCTTCCAATAAAAGTCTTGCTATTTTCTTGTGGTTGAGAGCAGCAGCAATATGGAGTGGTGAGTCTCCCGCCTGTGAGAAGAAATCAGATCAGAAAAATTAATGGAACTTTATATCGTCTTCTGTCGTCTTCTAAGAAACTAATGGTCAGCTTAGGGCCAGTTTAAGGAATTCTAAACAATTTTCAGGCAGTCGGTGTAGATTTAACAATTAAGGAGTAAAGCAGCAAGGGATTTAAACCAGTATTGAGTTTACTGCAGTGTTTTGTAAACAGCAGATCTGGAAGGGAGGTCAGAGAAACTCAACAAGTAGTACACCTGTGCAAATACATGTTATTTAATATACCACATAAATATGCATCTAATGGGTGATCTCATGATCCAATGATTGGAAATGGAAGGGGAACTCCTGGGGAATGGATTCTTGGAAGTCACAGGTGTTCATTCAATTTAGTGATCGCAAAAAGACATACTGTATGCCTGAAATATTCAGGATACACTTCTTTTAGACACTAGATTCTACTTGGAGTGCCAAATTGCTCAGCACTTGACATACTCAATATGGGGTAATAAAAATGTATAAGTAAAGGAATCTTGTAACTTTTGAAGGAGGCTTTTATCAGTTTTTTGAAAGTGTGATATATTTTCACATCCCCTTTTCTATATAGAACACAGTGGCTTAGATTACCTGGTTTATTTTATTTTAATACCACTGCTTAAACTATTCAAAATATGTGAATTTAAGTTGATCAAATTAACAGCAGAAAATCCATGCGACTATGAATTAGCATTTGGAATAGGAATGCTGATGTACTTTGCCCATAATGACTTTTATCATCTCGCCTTTGGACTGATATCAGCATCCAATTTTAAATGAGATTAATTTGGAATGAAAATCAGTTGCCTTCAGAAATAAGTAAACTATATTCACGATTAGCATTGGCAATTTAAAACATCAGATTTTTAGACACAACACAGAATATTAAATTCACTTGTGTATTTAAACAGTAATTCATCACAATTAAGCTTATTTTAGTCTTTTTTGTATTTGTACTGCTTTTTGTCCATATCGGCAATGTGTTGTTGATCTAATTTACAAAACTTATCATTGTAATGCTAAAACTTATTAATATGTTTACATTTTCACTTGCAATAAAAGATAAATTTGAATAATGCACCTCCACAGGCTGGATTTTCCCTCCGGGTTACAGGACAACACTGCCAGGCTCAAATGAGGGTCACTCACTTGTGACTTTCCCTGAATTGACCCAGTTAGTGGCCAGAGGATAGGTGTGCCATCAAGGTAAAGGACTACAGGCACGCTCTCTAGATTGAAGGGCCAATTAGTAGCAAAGATCAAAAGTAGCAGCTGGATAACTAAAAGGTATACACAACTCAGCACAGAGGCTCCCGCTCTCCAACCTTTCTGAATTTAAAATATGGGAATGGCTCAGCAGCCGGATCAGCGGTATTGAGGATGGGATTGAGTGGGACAGGGTGGGGGTAAGGTGGTGGAAAACTCCCCAGAGTGGCTATAGGTGCAGCTGAAACCAGACTGGCAGGGAAGACCTTTAGTTCTGGCAGGAATGCTCATCCTGGATCTGTCGCTGGGAGGCCACTTCCAGGCACCTGCATTTTCCAGGCACCTGGGGGCTGATTGGCAAATTGTTTCAAATAACAGGCCTTTGTGGGACCTCAATTGATAAATCCACCTTGTGCCACCCCAGCATCCTAATCACAGGAAAATGATCCCGGATTGGGATGGAGCCAGGGAACTGTCTCATCAGCTGCCAATGTAGTTTGAATGGGACTAAACATTCTCCCGTACAGTAAAGAGCGCAGGGACAGAGTTTGATGCTACTGACCTGGTTCTTCTCACTAACAGAACAGAAAGCACTCAGAAGGATTCTAATAATAGTCACGTGATTGTAACGAGTAGCAATGTGTAAACAAGTGTCACCCATCTGCAAAACAAAAACATTTCAACTCTGAATTACGTTGAACATAAACCAATAAAAACACTGAAGGCAAGCAAGATCCTTTTCTTTTTAAATAAAATCTTCTCAATATCAAAAATATCAAAAAAAAAAGAGCAGACCCTCACTTACACTGTTCTTAATGTCAGGTCTGGACCCTCCTAGCAATAGTACACGGGAACTCTGGGAATGGCCATTCTGACAGGCCAAGTGGAGGGCTAAGTTACCTGCCTTTAGGGAGACACAAGCAGCAAGACTGAAAAGTTACTAAACAACGTAATTCTGCATAAAGAAGATAATCAGTCTGTTTAAATTCAAGAGCTTTTCATACTAATTCCCTATGTATTAATTTCAGCCAAGCAGTTATTAGATAGTTCTTAATAGATGTCAGACACTTCCCTTCAGACAGCAGGAGGAAGCTGCACTGTATCCCAAACCGCTCCTGCATATTTCACCACCACCAGTTAGGAAATAGGATAGACAGAACCATGTGTACCAATTCATGTACCTTATTGGCTGTAGGTGTTTGTGGTTAGATCAGTAAAATTTAAAAAAAGTTCTTGTTTTCTACTGCAAATCATTACAACATATACCAAAATGTTAAAACGTCAATTTCAGAAAACAGAGTGATTACAAATACCTGAAGAGCAAAAACAGAATAAAAGAAGCGGAGACCTGAATTTTCACAAGAATGGAGAGGGTCTCCATCTTAGCCGAAATGATACTGAAGTCCAGATTCAAAAAGTACTGCCCTGAATGCAGCACTCACCGTTTTTGCCAGGGGTGGAGTGGGTGTGGATTGTATTTTTCCCATCCAGGATCAAGGGAGGTAGCTGCCCATGTTAAAATGCAGCTGCTAAAGACAGATCCAACTTTCACCACTGGGATGTCCAAAGCATGATTTTTCGGCAGAAGGTCTAAGGCTGTGAGAGCTATCTGGCCATGTGAGGATATACAATTTATACTGCATGACTGATTTTACAATCACTCACAGTCAGATTTACAACGTCTTTGATGTGGGGCTATGCGTATGAATTCTTTTTCATGAGGGATTGGCTTATTCAGGAATGTAAATGTATTGAATTTTTGTTTAAACACATTGAAGTCATCAACAGATAGTCAAAACTTCATTTTATCTCAACTCAACATGGGTCAAGTAAAGAAAAAGGATGGTAAGATTGGGTCTGGGTAGAGGATCATAGTTTAGATTGGAGGATATGAGGTGCCAAAGAGGGTGGTAAAAGGGTAAGAGTTTGATAAAGCATGTGAAAGGCCATGGGGAGTGTTTGGCAAGAAGGGTGTGAGGAGCATAGCTTGGCATGGCCATATAAGGGGCCATGGAGGTGGAGACAGGAGCATACCTTGACATCAACGGTATGAGGAACTATAGGAGGTTGGATAGAGGGCACAAGATCATATGAGTTGGTGTGCAGAATGTGTGGGAGGAGGTGGGGGGAGGTGGGGGATGTGAGAGATGGAGAGCTGCTTTTTCATTATTTTGGTTGGTAGGTCAAAATCCTGGATCAGAAAGGCTTGCATTTCACACAACCTGTCTCCACAACAGGCAGCCCCTGTGACAGTCTCCATAATAATTCCAGGTGGAGCGGCTCTGACTCCTGTTAACATCTACCCTCCTGGAATCAAAAGTTAACAATCTGGGGCACGTGCACCACAGTCAGGTTTGTGGAAGCAGCTGTTTTACCAACACTTTGACCTCAACTCAGGAGTAGTTAGAAAAAACAGAAACATTGGAAGACGTGATATTTAAATGGCTGTTTCTCACAGTGTATTTTGGTGAAAGAACAAACAGATCTGCGTATTCTGTGTTCACAAAAACTTTGGAAATAGCAGGGTATGGTGAGGAGACTGGTAAAAAGACGTCATAAGATCCTTAGCTTTAATGCTGGAGGTTTAGAGTTCAAAAGAAGGAAACTACATTAAACCTTTCTGAATCTGGGACCATACTTTCAGAGGATGTTAAGACTTTAAAGTGTTTGGGGTGGAGACCTATTAGAATAATAGCAGGAATGAAGATCTTCAGCTAAGTGGAATGCCCAAAAAATCTGGGACTTTCCTCCTTAGAACAGAGAAGGTTAGGTAGAGATGTGAGATGTGTTCAAGATCGTAAAGAATTTTGATGGGAAGAAATGAGAAATTGTTTCCAGTATAAGGGTCAGTAACCAGACCGGTAAAAATAATCAAAGACAACATAAAAGAGGAAATGTTACTCTGAGTTATGAATTGGGTGGGAGGGTGAACTGCGACCAGGATGCAGAGATGTGTCAGTGTGATTTGGACAAATTGAACAAGTGGGCAAATGCATGGCAGATGAAGTATAATGTGGATAAATGAGAGGTTATCCACTTGGGTGCAAAAACAAAATGGTAATTATCTGAATGGCAGTAGATAGGGAAAGGTGGGGTGGTATGTGCAACAAGATGAAGATATCTTTGTACACTGGTCACTGAAAATAAGCATGCAGGTGCAGCAGGCAGTGAATAAGACAAATGGGTTTTGCCCTTTATAGCAAGATGATTTAAATAAAGGAGGAAGGATGTCTTTCTTCAGTTGTACAGGGCTTTGGTGAGACCGCATAGTTATGAAGGATATACTGGCTATGGTGGGAGTATAATGAAGGTTTAGCAGTCTAATTACTGGGGTGCAGGACATATGAAGTATGACTGGACTGGTTAGGACTATATTCATGGGAGTTTAGAAGAATGAAAGGGGAATCACATAGAAACATATAAAATTCTAACAGGATTAACCAGAATAAATGCAGGGAGGATGTTCCCAATGATGGGGGAACCAGGAGTCGCAGTATGTGGATACAGGTTAAGCCATTTAGTACTGAGACAAGAAGAAATCTCTTCACCCGAAGAGTGGTGAGCCTGTGAAATTCTCTGCTATAGAAAACAGTCGAGACCAAAAAATTGAATGTTTTCACGAAGGTGATAGATATGGTTTTTAGACCTAAAGGAATCAAAGGGTGTGGGGAGAAAGCAGGAACAGGACACTTAGTTGGATCATCAGCCATGATCATATTGGATGGAGAAGAAGACTCTAAGACCAAATAGCCTATTCCTGCTCCTATTTTCTATGTATCTATGAACAGGAATGCATTGCCTGAAAGGATGATGGAAAATGACTGCTTTCAAAAGGAAATTAGATGAATACATACGAGGGAAAAACTTGTAGGGCTACAGGGAAAGAACAAGGGAATGGGACTGGTATTACAATCCCAGTGAGGATATTGTAAATCAAAATAACTGAATTTACTGTCTGACTACAAATGAGAAAAGAACCATTGACTCAGCACAAATCAGAACCAAACTAAATTACAAGAGCATTACAGGGACATGATACTTCAAATAAAAAGCTTTTGTCAATACAACAAGATATATCTTATGCAACCATAAGCACTTGCATGACTCACAGCACGAATGTGACCCTACCCACAGCTACACAGTTCCAGTGTATGCTCTTCTTCATTCACACAGGGAATGTCAGAAATGCTATTTTCACCTTTAAGTTTCATGGGTGGAATTACTACCAAGTAGACACTTTTCTGTAAACTCTCTCTTCCTTGGTAGTAACAGTCCTGATGGTGCAACTTCCTGGAGCTAAACTGACAAACAAATTATATCACACAGTCTAGCCACTTCTGAAAAAGTGTCCAGCTCTTTAATGTCTCTGAGCTATTCACAGCTTTATAGACTTTAGACCTTCATAGCCACTTGCACATTACCTCCAAGAGGTCCCATATCCTTCTCTGCTAAACTGAAAAACTGACAGCTGACCTCTTCCTGAGAGTGATTTGCTTCTTCTCCTCACATGAGCTCTTGGTCTGCTTTTTCTTTATGTCTCTAGCTGTATGCTGATCACCTTTACCACCCACCTCCTCTGTTTGTAACTTTCCTAGGAGTCTACTAGTTACATGGTTTCTTCCTTCCAGTTGGTACTGCTTCCAGGTTAAGGGTTATCATGTCACATGAACCAATATTTCTCATTATGAAAGAAAATTCATTTTATTCCTTTGCAATCAACGCTAAATCTTAAAAGTCCCCTTTAGACATGCTTAAAAAAATTATAGCTTCCATGTTTTAAAGAATTTTAAGTATTGCATCACTTGCCGGTCAACGGTCATCACACGTGCCCCAGTAAAAAGAAAGTCTTTACGTGGTAAAGTTTTCTGTTCAACAATATTCAAAATACAGAATACGCTTAACATCATAAATATTTTAACAAATTGTTTCCTATCAATGCACAAAATACAATAAGAGTGAATTATATTTAAAAAATCAAGTTTCATTACAAGCATACTTTGTTAATTTATGATTTATAAAATCTAATGCATTCATCTGGCCTTAAGACATTCTCATTTTTTAAACGCTCAACAGGGCGTCTGCAAACATATTGGCACAGATGTACAATTACAGCATTAAGCTCCAACTAAACAATCTTTGGCTTGTGGTTTCAAATTAATTTGGATTGTGTTCTGTGTAAACTAGCACCTTGGTTTTTGCATGTTTCATGTTATTTTTAAAACTGCACACTTGGCTTTGTACAATTAAGACCTGGATGATTATTCATGAGGAGTGTAAACATTTTACAATTTATTTCATCGGGTTAACAATGTCAGAAACCACACTGCTGATTGCTACCACACCATTTGGCCTCTGGGTATAGGCAGCTCTGAAATGGAATTAAGAAAGAAATCCCCTGTGACATGAATTTTTGTATTTGTATTTTCTTGTGTCAAATAATGGTTTCAATCCATCAGCTAGAAACCTGAATTGAACTTTTACAAAAAGATTCTTTTAAAATAGAGAACTCTGCAGCAATGATGCACTGTGGGTTGGTAAATAAACTGATGCAGAGTAGGAATTCGGTCCTTCTGTGGAAAGATGTCCCACCCTCTGGAGCACCCAATGCACAAAGAACACCAAAGACAGCATACCTTTCCTTTCTGCCCTTTTCTGTGTTTTTTTTTTACACAAAGGTTTGGCTGGCCATCCCCACTTGCTGCCCATGCCAACTGTATAATCACATCCAAATATATAGTCACACGGGCAGATTACATGGGGGCCAATTGATCTTTTAGCAATCTGAATAGGTTGATTTAAAATATCTATGATGGGTAGGTTGCTGATATTAACGTATGCCTAGACCCAATCATATATGGGGCCTAGTTCAGGAGCAGGACAGAAGGCGATGGACTAGAAGATATTGGGCAGGGCAGCTGCCCTTGTTTACATGTCCTGTTGTGAAAACAGAGGTGGAGCCATGTCAAATCCAGCCCTGCATGTCTGCAGCACCCAAAGACAACAAATTCCTGGAGAATCTGAAAAACCCACAACTTCTGTCCCATTATCAAGGTATTAAGGCAAATACCTGAGGTAGTCAATTGTTGGAAACACACTATGAAGACTAATCACTTGGACAATGGGACCATCGCTAAGAGAGATTTCCAGATATGAGCTAATTAAGTTATGCCTGGAATTCATGAATGATGACTGTACATTACAAAAGGTCACATGACAATCCTAAGTATGTCACAAGCATATATTTTCTCAGGAGAATAGAGACAAGCCACTGACAGAGAAGACCCAAAGTGTGGTCCTCCTGCCTCCCTCTCTCTCTCTCCAACCCACCTCTCTCCAACTGACTGCACCTGCTGCAGACAAATATTTCTTAAGAGAATTCAACCAAGCACTACTGTCCCCAGAAGAACAACTAACTCAGTCAACTGAATCTTCAACAGGGAAGCATCTGGACCAAAGGAAAGTTATAAGGCCACCAAATTCAGTCTGAAGCCCACAAAATCACCAAACTACAGACTTTTATACAATTTAATGGATCCTAATTTGGCCAGTTTATCTTTCCACACTCTAATCTGTATATTTGTGAGTGTGTAAACTTTGAGTGTGTGAGAGAGAAAAGGATGGAACAGGTTTTCTTCTTTTACTTAGATTGGTTCAAGCTGAATAATGTTTATTCCTTTCTAAACTCAAGAAAACCTGTCTGATTGGTCTTTATAATCACAGTGTGTAAACAGATAAGATTCACCAGGTTAGTAAGTTTCCTATTGAAACAATAAAAAAAAACCTGCAGTCCAATGAGGGGGAGCAGAGGGGAGCTCTTTGACACCATCTCATCTGATCGTAAGAACAGTCATATTGCCCTGGATTCAGCAGTTAATTTTTGTTCTTCTCAAAGCCAGACATTAAATTATCAGGGCTTTCACATTTTAAAACAGAGGCTAAACTATTCTGTTCAGTTTTTAACTTGTGGTTTCCATATTTGTTCCATTCATGAGATGTGAGCTGTGGCTGGGTCAGCATTTATTGGCCAAATCTAGTTGCCTTGGAGAAGGTGGTGGTGAGTTGCCTTCTTGAACCACTGCAGTCCTTCAGCAGTAGAGACACCCACAGTGTAGATAGGAAGGGAGATCCAAGATCTTGATCAAGCCACAGTGTAGGGACTGTGACGCAGTTCCAGTTGAGGATGGTGTGTGGCTTGAAGGGGAACTAGGTGGTGAAGGCATTTCCTATGAATATTCTGATCTTGTCCTTCTCAGAAGACAAAGATCATGGTTTGGAAGGTACTGTCAAAGGTACAAGTGACTGCAGTGCATCTTGTAGATGCTACACATCTCAGCTTGAGGTTTTGTTTTTAAATTACCAAATATTTGAAAACTATTCAAACAATAAAACACCCAATCACCCTTCACAACAAATAAATTCAGCTTATCCTGTTTAAATTCAGGATCATTCATAACTTTGGCTTCTTCTCCCTGATCTAGATTTCTTTTCCTTTAGTTTATTTTCCAAATAAACAACTTTGTGCGCCGGGATGCATCAAGAACTTTGTTAATGTTGTGTTGGTGTCAGCTAGGAAAGCTTGATATTCCTTTTGATTCAGCTCATTGATTTTTTTGATTTCAACTAAACAGTAACACTCCAGTTCATAGTTTGGTTACTTTTGGCGAACCACCCAAACTCTTTGGCCTATCTGATCAATTCATTCATTTCCGGGTTTTGGACTGTTTTAGTGTTGTATAGCACCTTTAAGAACTCCTGTGTCCTTTTCTGCCAAACAAAAAAGCTGACCTCTTCCAGAGAGTGATTTGCTTCCTTTCCTTACAAGTCTGTCTTCCTCTGCTTTCGCATTATATCTACATCAGGACACTGATTGCCTTCACCTTCTGGTTCTCTATCTATAGAACTCCTAGGAGCTCCTGCAGATTTTCTCTCTATCTGCCAAACACATGGCCTCTTTTTTAACATTCTTTCAAGGTCAAGGGTTGCTGGGTCACATGGACTGATATTATTTATTATTCAAGAAAAATCACAATTGACCTATCTTAAAAGTCCTTTTCAAATATTCTTAAATACAATTAGAGATTCTACATACATTTTAAACAAATTAGAAATTTTATTTATAAAACAAAGTACTGCAGATGCTGGAAATCTAAAACAAAAGAGAAACTGCTGGAGAAGCTCAGCATGTCTGGCAGCATCTGGGGACAGAAAGTAGAGTCAATGTTTTGAGTCCAGTGATCCTTCAGAAGTCCACAATGGTTTTGATGAAAAGTCACTGGACTTGAAATATTAATTCTGTTTTTCTGTCTATAGAAGTTTTGATATTGTACTACTTATCGCGAAAGGTTATCATGTTAGTTGGGGAACTCTTTCATAAATTCATATAGGACCAGTGGGCTGAATGGCCTCCTACTGCATTATATCACTCCATGGTGTTTTTTAACTATTATGTAATGTGTTTCTAAAGGATATTTTGTAAATTATCATTTTGATTTTATACAGGGGGTTTATGGTGAATCAGCTGGGCTTGTGTTTACAATTTACTGCATGGATGTCAAAGGGAAGATAATAAGCAGAGAACGATCTTTATAAATAAGAGAGAGAAGTGATAAACAGCTTGGGTTCTGATGGATCGCAGTCTGTCCGAGGGGTGCATTTGTAAACACGCAGATATAGTCCAGCCTCAAAATTTAGTGCATCAAATCAGCTCAACAATGAGTTCAAAACAATACGACAAATTTATCTGATCATGTTTGTTACTGTCAGTAGGAAACCTTTATTTCCACAGCAACTCTAAGTTAGTGAAATATCATTATCAACAAAAACAAAGCTGTAGAAAGAGACATCCAAAATATAACCAAAAGCTTATCAAAGAGATATCTTGCTGATTGTTTTAAAGGATACAGAACAGGTAGAGTCTGAACATTTACCAATGGAAATTCTAAAGCTGAGGGCCTCAGCAACTGAAAGCACATATAGCAGTAGTACAGAGAGAAAAAAGGTACTCGAGGTCAGATTTGAAGGAACACAGCCACCTCACAGTCTTGCAGAGCTTCAGTAAGTTACAGAGATATGCAGTAGTGACTCTATGTAAGGATTTGAAAGCAAGGATGAGGATTTCAAAACTGAGGTGCTGTCAGACTGTGAGCCAGTGCAGGTCAGCAAGTATGTGGGACATGGATGAATGACACTTGAGCAACTCAACACTTTATAATTCACAAACAAGCTGGATGGTGCATCAAAAAATGTCCGAGATAATGTAATGATTTTTTGCATAAATTAAGTCATTCCTTAAAAAGGCATTACTGTTTAGTAACAATTATTATAAAATATTAAAATTTTTCACCGCAGGAGCCATTTTCTTGAAAATGTACTTACAGTGTGGAAATTTTCCTTCTTGCTCAGACCTTTCTGGAAAACCACACATCTCTGAAAATGAGCCTTATTGTGAAGGCATGAATGTTGGGACCAGGTTGTAAATTTGCAGCTTCATTTTGTTCAAGGATACATAGGGAAAATTTTGCTGCAAGCGCCATGAGGAATTGCAGTTTAATAAGGTAAATCCTCTATTTCACTGTTAAAATGGAAAGTTCATGAAATTACCTCCTGCAACATGTCAGGGTATAATACTGACTTTGAGCAATGATGTAAAATGGGCAATCTCAGATTTGCCGCCCATCACACATCTCTTCCAATTTGCATTTCCATTAAAATCAAAAGGCTGACCAATCACCAGTTTTACACTATTGCCCAAAGTATCTTATGCAACCTATTACACTGATCAATCGACCTTTAAGTCAGACAAGTCAAAATAACAGAAAAGCCCAATCCTTATTTCTAACCTGATTCTTTGCATGGACATTTGCTCCTGCCTTGACCAGGAGTTTGACAGATTGACTGAACCCGTGCCAGCAGGCTTCATGCAGAGCGGTGTTACCATCCTAAAATTCAAATAAGATTTAAAGAAAATGCTTCAGCAAAAGCTTCTCTGAGGAGGCACTGAACAATTACAGAAATACAAGCTACAGTTTGTTGGCAAGCATAATGATAACCAGAATGATTCTCATATCCATAAAGTAATACAGATAAAAGATTTTACTTTTTATGGACCAGGCCAGACATCCTCAAAATATTTTAAGAACGTAGCCTAGACCCTAATGTTTCATTATTTTAAAGGCAAATATAAGGTGCTGTGTTCCAGATGCAATTCAACTGGTCAAACTACTCGACGTTAAGCAAAACACAATTTATTCGTACACTATAATTAAAATACAACAAAAGAAAGAAAAACTTAGAATAGCTTAACTCGATCGGAAAACTTAACAGAATAATAGATACAGTAACTATTACTAATTAACTGTTCCAATATAGTAAATTCCCATAAACACACACTTGGCAAAAAGGCAAATTCAGAAATCGGATTTTCTCACGTGCAATGACCACAGTAGGAACAGAAACCCCAGCTTCTTGCTGCAACCAAGAGAGGGGAAACGTAGCTTCTACTTCTTCAAGACTCCAGCAGCTTCATTTGAATCTAAGAGCTAAAAAAACTAGAAATCCTGGTCTATGAGAGCTGGCCACACCCATCCAGGCGGTTTCTATTGTTCCAATTTTAAAATAAAACACCAAGGTCTCACAAATTGTTTATGTTATCACAGACTGCTTGGCACCACTCGTTCAATCTCTGTCTTAGAAGAAACTAGGACAAAATACACCACTGAAAGCCACAGCATTGTCACATACTGCAAAAAAAATGTTCATCCGTGGTACGTGGATAACACTGGCAAGATTGGCCAATCCTTTGTTGTCCGGCAAGATGGTGAGTCAACCTCTTCTGTGGAGAAGACACCCCCACAATGCCTTAAGGCTGCAATTTGTAGGTTAAACTCTCTCTTGCTGAATGTGGTCTTTGCCTAGAATGTGTGTGTTATGTATATTACATTATCTGGAAAGAAATCTGTATCATCTATGTTGTGGTTATATAACACTTTTCTTCACTGTGTTAACATCATATACTCCCAGCTCAGGTACAATATGGTCAGATACGAAGTGATGCTCCCTCTTATCTATTTCAGAATGGAACTCTCTATTGTGATACATCTATTTCCCACAATGTCTATTCTCAGCATGTTGTTCCTGAGGGAAACTCAATTTAGTCTCAATTACTGGAGGTTTGTGTGACTTATATTCAATATGATTCAGAGTTACACGGGCTAATTTTGTGTCACATAAAACAACTTCAAGCTTTCAGATACAAAGGGGATGAAATTTGTTTTGGTAAAATTGTGGAAAATTCGGAAAAACAAAAAATGGACCATCAATTCACTACCACCCACTTTACATTACTGACCACAAACAATTTCACACGTAAGGAAAAAGTCAGGAAGACTCTGAGCTTATCCATACTAGCTGGATTGAATTTCAGATCTGAGAAATGAAACGTCAGTGAGAACATTTCTTCCATTCACATATCTTTTGTGAAGTAAGAGGATTTTTTCTCACCTTGTCCTGCCGGTCTAGACCACACCCCTCAAGAATGAGTGCTGAGATGACCTCGGTATTACCCACAACAGCTGCTCGATGCAAGGCTGTTTGATCACTCTGTCACAGGAAAGCAGGAAAGGAAGACAAGGAAACAATTGTGGCAAGTAAGAGAACAGATCAGAACTTATATACTTAACCGACATTTATGAGATTTTATAAATCTCACTTTGTGCCCAGACTACTGAACAGGCGATCAAATAGAATTGTCCATCTACACTTTCTAAATTTCTCTTCAATGTGATCATCTGGAAGCGTGTGTGCTGTTTACCTAATATGAATGTCTAGTAACACAATTGCTCCTCCACACTCAAAGAAACCTTAAAAAGAAAGTTAAAATGTTACTACCCTGCATCTCTTCTGGCAAAGCCTGGTGCCAAGTTGTACTAGCAGGCCTGACAAAATATGCACCTACTTTATCGACAGGTAAGATTGTATCAGGGTCTGATTAAACTCATTAAATCTCAAGATTAAATATTTATGATGTCCCTGCCTGCCTGGGATGAGTCCTGTCCTAATGCTGCTGGAAAATCTGTGGTTAAAATGGGGATGAATGTGAACCAGAATGCATTAAGAGCCTGATCATTATTTAATTCCCTGCTTGCCAAAGACTACTGTGTAGACAGAGTTAGAATTGAACATTAAGATGTGTGAATGTCTCATTTAGAATACTTTTAGATTAGTTTATTGTTAAATTCTAAAATTTAAGACTGGATTTAAGAACCTAATCATCAAGAACTAGAACTTGTAAAAGGATTGCTCTATTTTGTTTTTATGTAGAATGGTTGCAAGATTCAAGAGAGCTACAGTAAACATCTCAAATCCAAGTCAAATGACTAGGAGTAACAAAAACTGAGATTACTCACAAAATATTCACAAAGAAAATGAGATATGATCCAGAAAGTGACTTGGAGAGAAAATTTCCACAGAACAATTAAAATTTTATGAGATCTACCTCAATAGACTCCACTCAGGACTACTTTTAAAAGCATAATGAAACAACATTCAATGTCCTGTGATTTTGAGTGAGGATTCATTCCAAAATTTTTCATGCAGTGACGAAGAAAGTCTGTGGAATCTATTACTTCGGTGAGATAGATGTTCACTCAGGTAGCTACCTACCTTTACTTTTAAGAGCTTGTACTGTGAAAGAGCATTATTGATGATCAAAATTCCTAGCTTTATATAGTTTAAACTGCTTCCCCAATTCTGAAGGCAGATTCACAGGTCTTTAACTATACAAGTGTTTAAACATAAAAGCTGTTTGTATTCTGAAGATTCAGCCTTGGCTTGTAAACTAGTAATGCTAATTGTATTATTTCACAAATGCACGGAAAAATACAGATTTTTCACAAAGGCGTTGCAAAAAGATGTTCCCTGCAATTCAGTTATATAATTACTGTAAATTATATTATAAAATACAATATATTATGTAGACTCATTTATTTATCTCATTAATGATGCACTAGGGCAAGGCTGTTATGTAATACACTGAATGCTTAAAATTAGGTTGTACTTCAGAGAAATATTTTGTTCTAACAAAGCATCTAATAATATTCTGTTAAACCTGTCCTTGCATGTTCATGTACATAAATATTTCAGCTAAAAAGTGAGAGCCGACAATACTGCAGTGAAACTCTGAGTTAACAGGAAAAGCTACTACATATCTCCTTACACCAATCAGATTAACTCATTAGGAAATAAAGAGCGCAAGGATCAAGAAAGAAGTGAAGATTAAACTGAGTGAATGCAATGCCCAACTAGACTCCTAAAGATGAATACAAGAGAGAAAGAAAAAAAGTTGTTTGTAAATTTGCTATTATTAGAATCTCCAACAATAACATATGAAGGGATGAGGCAATAACTTGTAATGAGAGTTTGACAGGCATAATCTCATTAAGAAAAGAGTACTTACACTTGAAAGGTCAAGACTTAAAACTTTTGTGCGAGTTTAGTTTGTATCTTCTGTGCAAGTAGCAGAACTTCTTGACATTCAATAATGAACCAGAAAGCATTTTCATGAATCTAACAACTCCCTGGTCAGCAACATTTCAGCAATGGTATTTTGTTGCATTCCTGCTTTTACTTGAGACTGGTGTCCCTCTTACGGGAGGTGATGGCCTTGTGACGTTATTGCTAGACTGTTAATTCAGAGACCTGGTAATGTTCTGGGGACCCAGGTTCAAATCCTGCCATGGCAGACAGTGGAATTTGAATTCAATAAATATCTGGAATTAGGAGTCTAATGATGACCATGAAACTTTTGCCAAATATTGGAAAAACCCATCTGGTTCACTGATGTTCTTTAGGGAAGGAAATTATCCTCACCTGGTCTGGCCTACTTGTGATTCCAGTCGCACAACAGGAGTATAAAAAAAAACTCCTTAGTTTCACTGTTATTTTGATAGATAATTCTGGCCCGATATTTACGCATTATTCTTAAGACACTGTAATTTGGAAGTCAGGTTGTATTGATGAAAATTCTAGATTTGTAGCAATTATGGAGTCCCAGTGGATAGGTTTGCCTTGTCAGAAACAAAAGCTCATCCCAATCAATCACTGCACTGTAATTTATTCTTTGAGTGGATGACCTGATAGATATGTTACAAACTTTTGCATTTCTGGCCTAAAAGAGTCATTGTCCTCCTTGATTGAAACGCGCTTGGATTATTATCAAGTGAACCACCCTCCTTTTTTTATGAGATACTTTTGGAATACTGCAGTCAATTCTGGTCTCTCTGCCATAGGAAAGATGCTGTGAAATGGAAAGGGTTCAGAAAAGATTTACAAGGATGTTGCCGGGGTTGGAGGGTTTGAGCTAAAGGGAGAGACTGAACAGGCTGGGTGTATTTTCCCTGGATCATCGGAGGCTGAAGGGTGACCTTATAAAGATTTATATAATCATGGGGGGCATGGAGAGGATGAAGAGCCAAGGTCTTTTCCCCAGTGTATGGGAGTTTAAAACTAGAGGGCATAGATTTAAGATGAGAGGGGAAAGATTTAAATGGCAACTGAGGGACAACATTTTCACACAGAAGGTGGTGCATGTATGGAATGAGCTGCCAAAGGAGGTGTAGGAGGCTGGTACAATTACAACATTTGAAAGATTTTGGATGGGTTAATTAATGGGAAGGGTTTAGAGGGATATGGGCTAAATGCTGGCAAATGGAACTAGATTAATTTAGAATATCGGATCAGCGAGGATGAGTTGGACCGAAGAGTCTGTTTCCATGCTCTATGACATTCACTTAAATATCAGCATACTTCATTCATCCCTTATTTCAGCATCAGAACTCAACTGCTTGCACCCTGTCGCACACTAAGACCTGCTTTCCTGACTTTGTTGATTTTCACTGATGCTTTGGGTTGGATTTTCAACGTGGCATTGGGAACCTGACCCCCCTGGATGAATTCCAGGTCTCATCCCCCACGCCCAAACTGCATTGCTACTGCAATGTGATTTTTAGATGTAAATGGCCAAAATGACCAGGAGACAAGTTTGGCACCTCTAAGTGTCTCCAGGATGTGGGATCTGCCTGCCGAGGCAGTGGCAATCATGTTGGGAAATGCCAGGGTCTTGCTGACTAGAGCAGGCAGCTCCTCAGAAGTCAACAGAAACGTGGACGTAGTGGTGTGACCACTGCTCATACTGACACTGGTTAACTCCAGAAATTTGTGAAAAGCATGATTCCAAATGAAAATTACTTTGGCCCTGTAATGAAGCTGAGAGTGCTAACCAGCACAAGACTGAAGAAACCTTTTGAAAATTCAATTCTGATCTGTGCCGACACATTAACAGCTCCCTATGGAGCTTAACGGCTCATTAATTAGTATCAGGCACCTACCCCAATCACTGCCTCTTATCAACCCTTTGAAAATCCAAGATTGTGCTTAATTTTGAATGTTTACCCTCAATGGTCCCTGTACCTATCGAAAATAGCCCTTGTTTCATCATATATTAAATTTAAGTGTTTTCCTGCCATGAAACCCAAGCCACCTCTCCCAGCCCTACATTCCACCCCCAACCTTTTTCAACAACCTCACCCTGGCAGCAGAGTCCTCAGCCACTGACTTTTCATAATGACATCCTTAATACCAACTTTTCACAATCTGATTGTCCTTTTTATATCCCATCTTTTCAACAAAGCTTTCTGCATTATTTTCTCCCTCCTTGGCTCTCTGCCATTTTTCTCTGTGTATGTGCGATGCTTCATAAATGTTGTTTGTTTAAATGTGGGATCTGCAGGATGACACCCCTGGCAATGCAACGTTACTCATTGAGCAGTGCTGAGTATTGGTGTCCCAACCTGGATTGTGTGTTCAAACCCTGGAGTAATTCTGACATCATATTAAATCCGCAATTAGACCAGCAGAGGTCACGCTTCAGCTAAATATGATTTCGCTGAATCAGTCTGAAGGAAATATTTCTCAAATATAGAAATGTCAAATATTAGGCTTCAATTCATTTCCTCAAATTTATTGGAAGTGTATTGTGTGTATGTTACTATGTTCCCAAACTAGGAATTCAGGGGCCTGGACTAATGTTCTGAAGTTGAGTTGTTAACTTTAGTTTGCCTTGATTGTTTGTACAATTGTATTTCAGTCAAATTCAGAAAGCTGTACAGTGGAAGAATTAGTCCAGGGCTTGAGCACATAACCTTGGCTGATACACTAGTCCTGAGTAGGAGCTGCAGTGTCAGAGTTATCTTTCTGTAGAACTCACATTCAGTCTTATCTACTGTTTCAGTTAAGCCATAAAACTAAAGTAGGTAAACGTAGAACTACAGGCACTCAAATGAGACTTGAAATGAGCCAGAAAGCCTGTCAGTCAAATGTCTTTCATCCATAAAAATCTTCATAAGGTACATGAAGACTTACGAATGGGCTGCACCTTAATAACAACATGCTACATACATTTATGTAGCCTTTAATTTTAATTACGAAGTGACAGTTTCTAATAATACGAAGGAAAGAAACAGTTTAGCAATGGAACAATTTGATTCATAATATTGCAACAAGATGCCTTACATCAATCAGAAGATGATGTATTTGCAAAACATAAATTGCTAATCTCCTGATCTCTCAGCTTCTTTTGTACCTTCTTGTCATCAGAGCAACAGCAACCTTGATCACAACCAAAATTTTGAACTGTGAATGCCTTTCAGCCAATTAAAAATCAGATTAGAGATCCAATAAGGTTTTATGGGATTGGTTACCAGAGGGAATGCGTTACTATCAGGGATTGTGAGGTTGCCAGAACTGGATCCAATTGGTTTAAAACCAGAAATCCCAATTTAGGCCACTGGAGGTCATTCTGCAGCTAAAGATGATCCCTCTCACTCAGCCTGAAGGAAACACAGGAATGTCAAATGTTAGTCTTCAGTTAATTACCTCAAATTTAATGCTACTTGTACAGTAGATGCCATTGTAAAGGTGCAACTGTGTGTATGGTATTACAGTATTATGTTCATGAACTAGAAATCCAGAGGCTGGCGTATGTTAAGTATGAAACATTTTTGTAAAGACCCATTAGGTTCATTTAGGCCCTAGGACATCTCTGCAGGAGTTCCTCAGGATAGTATCCTAGGCCCAACCACCATCAGGGGTTTCACTAATGACCTTCCCTTCATCGCAAGGTCTGAAGTGGGGGATGTTCACCAATGATTGCACAATGTTCAGCAACATTTGCAAGTCCTCAAATACTGAAGTAGTCAGAATCTAAGTGCAGCAAGACCTGGACAATATTTAGACTTGGAATGAAAATAGAGTCATAGACTCACACAGCATGGAAACAGACCCTACAGTCCAACTAGTCCATGCTGACCATGTTCCAAACTAAACTAGTCCCACTTGCCTGCATGTGGCCCATATCCCTCCAAACCTTTCCTATTCATGTTCTTATTCAAGTGTCTTTCAAATGTTGTAAATGTGCTTGCATCCACCACTTCCTCTGGCAGTTTACTTCACACACAAAACAACTCTCTCTAAGAAAGTTGCCCCTCATGTCATAATTAAAACTTTCTCTTCTCACCTTAAAAATATTTTTGAATTCCCCCATCCTAGGGAAAAGACCATCGCTATTCACCTTACCTATGCTCCTTATGATTTTATAAACCTCTATAAAGACGTGGTGACAGAGAATGTAACAAGTAAAGCTAAAAGAAATGGAAGGAATCAGAAAGGGTTTACAATATTGAACTCAATATTAAGTCCAGAAGGCTGTAAAGTGCTGAGTCTGAAGATGAGATGTTGTTCAATAAAAATCAAAAGAATTGCAGATGCTGTAAATCAGGAACATAAGCAGAAGTTGCTGAAAAAGCTTAGCAGGTCTGGCAGCATCTGTGAAGAAAAAAACCAGAGTTGACGTTTCGGGTCTGGTGAAGGGTCCGAAATGTTAACTCTGATTTTTCTTCACAGATGCTGCCAGACCTGCTGAGCTTTCCCAGCAGCTTCTGTTTTTGTTCATGAGCTGTTGTTCCTCCAGTTTGCGCTGTGATTCACTGGAGCATTGCAGCATGCCGAGGACAGACAAGTGGGCATGCGAGCAGGACACTGTGTTAAAATAACCAGCTACGGGAATGTTGGGGTCACGCTTTCACACACACTGGAGGTATTCTGCTGTCACCCAAGGCAAATGGAATGTTGGTCTTTATGTCAAAGGGAATGCAGTATAAATATAGAAGCCTTGCTAAAACTATTCAAGAGGGGACCTTACTCAAAGGCAAGATTCTTAGAGGACTTGACTGGGTAGTTGAGGAGTGATTACTTGCCCTTGTGGGAGAGTCTTGGACTGGGGGCAAAATCTCAGAGTAAATGGTCACCAATTTAAGCAGAAATGTGAAGGAATTTTTTTTTCTCTCAGAGGGTAATCAACCTGGGGATTTCTTTACACCAAAAAGCTTTTGAGGCTGGGTTGTTAATTACAATCAGGCTGAAAATGGACCGATTTTTAATTAGAAAGTGAATCAAGGTTTATGGGATAATGGAGGAAAGTGGAGTTGAGGTTTACAGGTTCAGCCATGGTCTCACTGAGTGGTGGAGCAGACTTGATGGGCCAAATGACCTACTCTTGATTGTACATCTTATAGTCTTATGGATGTTGGGTCAGAGGTGTATGAAAGTGATACTAGGGTGATTATTTATCATGAGCAAATCCTTGAGGTTTTTTTTATTCCACCTGAGGGTTTACATAGAGAGTGACTGCTGTGGCACCTCTGCAGGTTGTAGTAAATTTGAAGTTATGGCACCGCATAATTCAGCTTTCCGGACTCAAACTGTGAAGATTGTGGAATTAATTCAATAAATAAGAGTGTCAAACTATGGTAAAACTCCAATTGTTCACCAACATCTTTCAGGGAAAGCACCTATCCCCGTATATCATCTGGATGTCACAGGACTCCAATCTCTCACTCTGTGGCTAACTCTTCCTACCTCAGGGCAACTGGGCATAGTGCCTGATCAATGTTTTCATAACCCAAAGTACAACGCAGATGTTTTGTAGTACATCATCCATCCTGTATTTTGTAGTGTGAAATTCTATAGTTCTTTATCCTGCACCAATCAGTTGCATGTAAAGAAAATTAGGGCTTTACATAAAAATATATATTTCAGAATCAAGAAAATATTATTGGGCCAATTTTGTTAGCTCAAATTTTGCAGTGGTAATGACCAGGCTTTGCAATCCTTATTCCACTGAAACTGGGTGCCTGAATTTCTAAAATCCTCAATTATAAATTTCCATATTATTCTGCACATGTTCCCAACAGTGATTCTACTTTTCATCCAAGGATGTGCTATTCTGGTACCTCATTGCTGCAATTGACGGAAGTGGACTCCTAGACTTATGGTGTTAGTATCACCATTAAAAACCCCTTGTTCAAACCAGCTAAAATACTGACCTTGGAGATTTAATGCCCTGAAGGCAGAATTCAGGCTCATGTCACAATCCCTAAAATAGGGACTTAACAACCTCAAATTTTGAAGGGCACCGACAGAAGTCAATGTCCCTGAAACAGGCTTGGTGTGTTTGTGGAATGTTACATTTCTCCATCACAGCAAAAAGCAATCCACATTTTAAAAAATCAACACTTGAATTTTAACTGTATTTCAGCTTCAATCTGGTGTGGATCTTACTTTTTATTTTGTTATCTGAAAATTTATAAGAGGAGGATATTAAGTATTTTTTAATGTGCAGGTTTACCATGCATCAACATGACCGTTTCCTTACTCTGTTCATATTACTGGAGCTACATGCAGAGATATCCCTGGACTTGGGCACCAGATTTAAACTGCCATTGAAAAAGGAAAAAGTCAAACTTAGTTGTCATATTTAGAAAGACTACAGATACTTTCAGTCAACGATGAGAAAAATTCCAATATTATCCTGGTTTCCACTTTTTGTGGCATAGCCCCCAATGTTTTTCTTCAGACCTCTTTAAACCCTCACAAAAATAATCTTTGCTTTGAAGCATGTGTGAAATGCAAGGCACAAAACAAAGTCACCTGACAAGGAGTAATCCAATCACCTTTCACTTACATCATCCTGGATGTCCAGATCACAACTGGCTTTCAGGAGAATTCGCACAACGTCAATGTGGCCCTTGTACGCAGCCAAATGCAGTGCAGTACGTCCATGCTGCAAATGACAAGCAGCAACAATGAGAAGTGATTTAATGCATAAAGGCTTCACTCAATCTCAATCACAAGGAGACTCTTTTGCAACTTGTACAATTACCAGCTCGCCACTGCACAGCCGGCATGCGTGTTCCACAAGTTTGATTCTTAACTTTTTTGCCTTTTCCTTATCCACCTGCTGTCTATTCGATTCACACATTTTATATGCCATCCCTTAAGAATCACAACACATTAACCACAGAAATTTGCAGCAGGAAGACATTCAGTTCATTGCACTTGTGCTAGGTCTCTGAAAAAATCATTGGCTGTCCCTCATTTCCGCACCTCATGTCTAACTCCTTTTCAAATGTCTATTTTTCGAATTTCCCTTTAAAAGCTCCCTGGATTTTACTTCCATCAATATTTTTGCTGGGATATTCTCATAACCTCTGCATATGAAAGACAAAATTAATTTGTCCTTCTTTTGTTCTTTGGCAATAGTCTTTAATGTATGAATTTTAGCTGCTGTTAATCAGGTAAAATTACTTTCCTAAATTACCTCCAAAAATTCCTCATAATTTCAACCACTTTGATTTGGTCTCTGTTTAATCTTTTTTAGAGCTGAATACCAATTTCTCTTATCTCTTCTCATAAATAAGGACTTTCATGTTATAATCTCTTTGCCAGCTTCTTAGTTACTAAAGTAAAACTCCTAACAGTTTGTTATAATTTTTACAAGTTTAGCAACACCCAATTTTAATTTTATACCTTATTCTCCTGTTCATTGAAGAGGCGTTCCATGTAGAAGTTGTTAAGTATAGGTTATCATTTAAAAATATTCTTTGATAAGTCTTCAAATCAACTGAAATATTCATAATACAATTGAGCTATAATGGTCTGAACTGCAGAATTCAGCCTTGTGTCTATCACTTGGGGCAGCACAGTGGCTCACAGTACCAGAGACCCGAATTCGATTCCAGCCTTGGGTGACCGTCTTTTCGGAGTTTATGCATTCTCCCCATGCCTGTGTGGATTTCCTCTCACAGTCCAAAGATATGGAGGTTAGGTGGATTGGCTGTGGGAAATGCAGAGTTACAAGGACAGGATTGGGTGGGGGGAGCAGTGCTCTGGCTGTTATCCTCTTTGGAGGGTTGATGTGGCCTTGATGGGCTGAATGGCCTGCTCTACACTGTAGGGATTCTATGATGTTACAAAATTGGAGAAGGGCTAGGTCATGGAGTGATTTGAAAACAAGGATGAGAATTTTAAAATTGTCCTGTATCAGGAACAAAAACTAATCATCAAGCAAAGGGGTGACAGGTGAATGGGACTTTGTGCAAGTAAGCACATGGACAGCAGAGTTTTCTATGTCCTCAGGAGTTTGCATTTATGTGGTGGAGGCAGGTTCATTCAGGTTTTCATGAGGGACTTAGATATTACCCAAATCGCTGAGGGGAATAGGGGGAAAAGGACCAGATGAGTAGGCCCGACAGAGAATCAGCATGGACACAACAAAGCAAATGGACTGCTTCTGTGCTGTAAAAAAATTATAATTCTTTAGGTGCAATTTCCTCCTCCTTAGAAATGATGAGGAAGGTGGCAAAAAAGTCAAATAATTGAGCAATTAGACCCTGGAGAGATTCTCAGCCTCTTTTTCCTACGATGGCAACTCATTGCTGGATCAGAAGGTCTCCTGGGAACCTTCTCAATTTGCCAGAAATTAAAGCCCTTAAGTGATTAAAGCCCTTAAGCCCTTAAGCTACTTAAGGGCCTCATCTCACCATCAACACAATTATCGGCCTGCCAGCAGCTAGGGAATATAACTGAAAAATCAGGATTACCTTTCTGCCGTGTTTCAGTGCTGTCCATTTGCCCCAACTGGGGGTCAATGTTGGGCAACTTGGTCATTGCTGAATGCCAATCTACTGCATTTGCCTCTAAATCTCCCTGATACATCTCTCTCCAACCCGATCCTTATCACTTGAGACTCAACAGTGAAACACCTATCTTTTTTATGTTGGATCCCTGAAAAGGTAGGTCTGCAGTCATGATCTCTAGGCCACTGATTGGCTGGCAGCTTTTTTGGTGAGGTGTCCTTTAGTGTTGAGGCTTGCAATTTGCTGAGAAGCTCATCAGAAAATAAATTTACTAAAAAGCTCCCACAAAAACTTTAAGGTGGGGTGTGTTCTGCAATACTTCTCACATACCTATCCAAGTGATTTACATGTAATGATTAGTTCTAGCTATCCAAAAATTAGACAGCTTTCATAGAATCCGTACAGTGTTGGAGCAGGCCATTCGGTCCAACAAGTCCGCACTGATTCTCCAGGAGCATTCCACCTAGATCCCTGTAACCCTGCATTTCCTGTGGCCAATCCACCTAACCTACACATCTTTAGACTGTGGGAGGAAACCAGAGCACCCAGAGGGACCCCATGCAGACACAGGGAGAATGTACAAATTCCACACAGTCAGTCACCTGTGGCTAGAATTGAACCCAGATCGCTGGCACTGTGAGGCAGCAGCGCTAACCACTGAGCCACCATGCCACCCACTTGACATGAGTGGAAACATTTTTAAGGAACAGTGTTCGTTGTTAGAAAGTATTTGATAAATATTTATTTTGTGTTTGCCAAGCAATAGAAACTCTTAAAACTCATCAGCTCATCATCTAAACCATAACCTCAGCCTGGCCTGATGCAGCCTTTATTCCTGTATGCTTGACAGCATTGATGGATGGTGAGTAGTAATCAAGCTAACTGTATTACCTTCAGACAAATGATATTCACCTGGTTCTGTCTGGCAGCGAACAATGGCATTTATAGAAGATTTGTCGCTCGGGTTCTGGATGAGGTTGTAGACATGCTCGCTGAGCCAGTGGGTTTGATTGCAAATGCTTCATCACCCTGCTTGGTAACATCGTCAGTGCGCCTCCAGTGAAACATTGGTATATGGATACATGAACACCAACTAGCCACCAAGAGACACGACAATTCTCACTTATCTCACTGCACACGGACAACGAGGGACATGAATTCGACCGGGACAACACATCCATAATTGCGCAAGCCAAACAGAGACACATCAGGGAATTCCTGGAGGCCTGGTATTCCAACCGGAACTCCATCAACAAACACATTGAATTAGACCCTGTGTACAAACCAGTGAAAAACAAAACCGGAAGTAATACCAACTACCACAGCAAACTGAGGCGTATAAATAACAAGCAGGACAGAACACCAACGTTTCACCAGAGGCGCACTGACAATATTAGCTAGCAGGGTGACGAAACGTTTGCAACCAAACCCACTGGCTCGGCGAGCATGTCTACAACCTCAATGCCATTTACGTAATACAGTGAAATCTAATGTCATAGCTCTGTTTGATAAACAGAAAACCAATTTACAGTCATCTACCTTACATGTTTCCATTTTTAGAATTCTTTTTCCTCCTTTGAAATGCTTCTTAAAAACTACCTTTTTGACCAATAATATCTCATAATGTGGCTCAGTGTCATATTTTGTTGTGTAATGCTCCAGTGATAACATAAAAGGAAACGTTACGGTCTTTTATAAGCAAATGACAGAAAAGAACACAATAATTAAAGCAAATTAATGACATGCTCAGGGATTAAGTGGAGGGAGTCCAATTACAGACAGCAAAGATACATTGTAAATCATTTTTATACAAGAGAGAATGGAAACCACATTGTAGATGCTGGAGAAAGACACAGATGAATCATTTTGCTTAATTGTAGAAAAGCAATTCGTTCAAGAAATAACAGAACTCATCTGAATAAAAGTAACTGGGGTTGATTTCATGTAACCTAATCTGTAAAAAGTCCAGAGAAGAACTAGCAGAAATTCTGACCATAATTATTCAATCCTCCTTAAATATGCAAATTATACAGTTGGAATGGAGTATAAGAAAGTAACAGCTTTGTTACTTCTGTGAATTCTAGTCAGTCTTCAATATACCCTCTCTTAAATTTCATCTTCTTTGACCTCGATGCCCGAAATGCCTGCAAGACTCAACTGGCACCTCACTGGAGAAGTACCAACAATGGTACATTTACTTAATGCTCCAAATCCAGTGGTACGAAATAAACAGCGGCATCCTCTGCCAACTAGCCAAGCAGCCCAGCATTGAGGTGCTCATCACTCAAAACCAGCTCTGATGGGTGAAGATTGTTGTTTATATGCCCATCTCCCAAAGCAATTGCTCTATTTTGAGCTCAGCTACAGCAGAAGACTCCCAAAAGAATAATGGAAATACTTTAGAGATATCCTCAACGCATTTTATAGAATCCCTACAGTGCAGAAGCAGGCCATTCAGCCCATCAAGTCCACAATCACCCTCTGAAGAGCATCCTACCCAGACCCACCCTCCTACTCTATAACCCTGCATTTCCCAGTTAATCCACCTAGCCTGTACATCCTTGGTCACAATGGGCAATTTAGCCTGCTACTTAATCTGCACATCTTTTGACTCTGAGAGGAAACCAGAGCACCCAGAGGGAAACCCACGCAGACATGGGGAGAACGTGCAAACTTCACACAGTCGCCCATTGGCGGAATCAAACACAGGTTCCTGACACTGTGAGGCAGCAGTGCTAACCACGCCCATTCTGAAGAGGTTGAACCTATCCATCAACTCACAGGAGACCCTGGCTTGCGACTGTCCAATATGGAGAAGGTTAATTTGGGAAGGCACCAAACACATTGAAAGACTTCATTGGAAACATGCAGAGGTTAAGCTGAGGCATCAGAGAAAGCACAGAAACCTGCTACCCAGTCCTTCAAGCATCACCTTCCCTATGGGTGACACAGTCTGCAACTTGTGCACTGGAGCTGTTTCAGGGCCATTTGAACCAGAGTGGATGCAAGTCTTCAGTCCTTCAGTGGTCTGAAGGAACTGCCTAAGTAGAAGGAGATTCAAGGACCAGAAAGTCATTTTTATTTTTTATGATTTATTTTTACTTGCATCTCTACTCTACATTTATCTACTTCTACATTCTGTTTA